TATAATGGGTGAATACGTGTGCAATCAGCAAAATTTACATGCCAACAAACTGCCAAAGCACATCATTGCTAAAACACTCAGAAGCCTTTCTTATACGATACGTTTGTCCTTCTTTCACGGCGCTCAGAAAGATCTTAAGCATAAGTGAAATGAAGTCTCTATAGCGTGAGCGGATTATCCATAAAGTAATTTTTGTAAATCAGGGGAATAGGTTCCTCGTTTGACAAATGGTTTTAAGCAGAGTTTCAAAAGGGGTAACTATTTCCGCGTCCTCACCCAAACCTTTCTCCCCACCTTGATCCCAACATTCCTGGAATTCAGCAAAAGCCCATCTGTGATGCGGGACTACCTATTCTCGCATTCTAGCCTGAAATTTTCCCCACCTGTGTCCTGATTGTTCCTCGAAGATACGCGAATATATGCTGACAAGACGTCAGTCTCTGACGTTGAGAGAGAAAGCTCTTCACCTTAAAATAGTCAATGGGCAATTAAGCGAGAATGTACCTCAATTTAATACGCTATGTTAGTTGGCCAATTCTATACTGAATGCAACGGGAATTTAAGCAGCGGTGGTCAAAATTGAAAGGTCGCGTCGGATACACAGACGGCCGGTAGAGACTTGTCCAACACCAGACATTATAGCAGCCAAATGCGACCTTTGTCAGGTATTCGCCAAAACATTGCGTATGCTTACCTCTACGCTGTGCTATTGAAATTTGCTTTGTGTCCTCAGATGCACGAACGATGCGACTGCTCCAAAACATTCGTTACAATCCAGAAAAGAAACACTATAAATACAAAGGCGGGAATCCCTAGGAATATAATTTGAAGAGATTTGGTTCCCTGGGAAAGTTAGGGACGTTGTAAGAAAATTTTCGACGTCGATTTCCGGGTCGTCGTCAGGCTTGAGTAAATGTACAAAACCAGTCAACAATTCAGACGAGCTCAAAAATCCATGCTTCCCCGGCGCTTCTGACATTAAGCGTCCGCCGCACACGTTAGTGTGCATCGATTAATTCCCGTCTTTATCATTTTTCCCTGACATTTTTGTGCATGACGTCTAACTCACTATGCCGATTAACGCGTGACTCACCCGAGGGTCTGGTTTCAAGAAATTCTTTGCATTTTTGGAGGGCAGACGCCGACGATGCGAGTCTTGTCCCATGCAAAAGTGTGCCCAGTATCTGGTGTAGGTATGACCATCTGTGATAGGTGGTCTCGCCTCTTAACACCTAAGTGATGTTTGTAAATACGTGTGAAGGCAGGCTTTCCAGTTTGGTCGCAATATACAGCACTGGCTGCTCTACATGGAAGCTTGTGGACGACTTTCGTCTTCGGCAGATAGTCAGCTTTATCCTGAGGGTTTACAAGTTGGTTGCGTAACGTAGTTTCCGGTCTCTGGGTCATGTGCATTTGGCGTTTTCTCAGGAGTTTTCAACGAGTACAGACACACTTTAATTCACGCGAGGGTTCGCTTACGAGTCTGCTTAGAACTATCTGGTTACTTCTCTTTTGACTCCTGTTTTCCCATGCATCGAAATACAAAATCTCTAGGTTAAGCTATTCCTGGAACACATTCAAACGGAATGTTTAGGTCTATTCTGCATCTTTTTTCGTCGGAACAGTGCGTTGTTGCCAGGTAAAACATGCTGTTGACATTGTTTTGTTTGTTAGAGATTTAGTTGTTGTTTTCGTAGTGTAGAACGATTTACGCGCAAGTTTTTTTTGCAGTAAAAGGATGCGTGTTAGGTTCCGGCAGTGTTTCGCTGCACGAGATCATCCAAAAATGACGGTTTGTTGTCGGCTTCCTTCTCCCATATGACCCTGATTTCCAGAATCGTTGAATTGATTATGCTGTGGGAGGTTTCTAATCGACTTCTTAGTACGTATTAACAGTATTTGTCTATTTTATTCATAAATAAAGGATTCACCAGACACCTGACTCGCTATGCTTTTTCCCGAAAGTGATGATTACCTTCGCAAAGCTCGCCGAAAAAGGGCACCTGCGTCCATAAGAATATTTTGCTCGGTTTTTACCCATATTCCAAGTGAGCAAATCTCTTCCCAAATATGTTTTAGTTTTGTATTCCCTTAAGGCATATAGCCTATTGGTTGGTTTCCTGTTAGACTTGCGTAACGTATTTACGGGAACTATCTACTACCCTATTTTAACGTTGGGGCATATCACAGATATCTGCCTCTCTCCACGCAAATAACCACCCAAAATGTAATTTGCATCTCTACGCTCAGGCGAGCTTTTTGCTGATTTTGTGCCGCTGCGTGACGCATGCGCGCGGACAGTCGACCTCCGCTAGCCGCGTGGATTAGGGAGCACACCTCTCCACGACTAGGTAAAAGACGGCAAATAGATGAAACTCCTCTATGCACCAAACAGGCTCTTAAAGATCATCGGTAAACACTTGAACACTATTCCAGTCATCTTAAAGCATTACCCTCAAAAATATGTTACCTACAGCTATGCGTTAAGACACCTGCAATTGTTACTCCCACCAAAACAAAAACCAATCAACTTATCCCTATATCCGAGCACGCACATTTTCTTTCATACAATATTCAAACTTTGTCGTTTTCTATTAACATATACGGTATATAGGAGTAAAAATGGTACGTTCACAAGTACAGGGAAGATGTGAAGTGAATGAAAATAATTGGTGAACATTTTAGACATGCTCTGTGAGAAAAGAAATCCGCGAATACCTATCCATGAATAGACAGCAGCCGCCTGTATTCGGTTCATTAGTGAGATACCCACAATTCCAAATATGATTTCTGAAAAATCAAAATCTCGGTTTCAACAGCATAATCGTTTGCTACTTGATCTCGGAGATACATCGTCGGAATCAGACTTATTATTTCCGTATTTTAAAATACTCACTTAGCAAGACGTGATAGGGCAAGCCTCCTATGTCCGAACGCAGCATTCAGAATGGGGAGAGACAGATATTGTGATTACGTATTTACAATTGCCCTGACAACGAACCTGTGTAACAATTTTTAAGGACATGTTCTCCTTAAAATGACGTTGGTCGGGAAAGTTGGCTTTTCCGACAAAAAAACATTTCAGAGAGAGAATAATTCCTGTTATTTCTTTAGGCGCGCAAAAAATACGCCGAAGCAGAATACCCTTTACTCTATCAGTAGGCACGCCCGCACACACACATATACACACACGACAGTTCGACCATCGATTTCGATGGTGTCCACCGTGTGCCCCACAGACTGCATTGTGGTAGCAGGGACGGTGACTTACGCAGGGGTTTATAGTGCCAGTAGACTTGCGTAGCATCTACCTACACTCTCTCCTCCTCCCCCGCCTGAGCCTGGTGTCAAGACCAAGTCAAGAAGACCGGAGACGAGGGAGGCCGCAGTTGGATGGCTCGGACGGATCCTCGCCTTGGCGCTCCCCTCCGCACCCCCTGGTCCACACACAAATGACCAGGATTTTGACCACAAAACAATGGGGTGTTGACAGTGGTCTAGTTGTGCGACGAATGCCGACAACAGGGTCCGCCAGCGCACCCCGCACATGTTGGCATTTGTTATTGCGCACAGATAACGCCTGCCAGAGTCCGATGTGGCCCCCGTGTTGGTCCAGCGCATCTAACACGTGGCCCGTTTGGAGGGCACACATACACACACACACACACGACAGTTCTTTTGCCGCATCCAACGATGTCCACCGTATGCTCCTCAGGAAAGTGGGAACAGGGACGGCGACTTGCGAAGGATTTAAAGTGAGAGTAGACTTGAGCTGCATCTGCCACACTCTCTCCCCCTCCCCAGCCTGCACCCGTTGTCAAGACAGAATCAAGAAGACCGGAGACGGCGGAGAGCGCAGGTGGCTGGTACGTTCGAGCCCGCACCTTGGCATTCCACTCCACACTCCCTGGTCCACACGCCAAATAACCAGGTTTTTGACTAATAACAACAGAGAGAATAGAGGGTGGCACGGCCGAAGCCGCACCTGGGCGTGCCACCCACATCCGGCCCGAATCCCACGCATTGGGAGTACCATAAAGGCCATATGAAGAAGGAGCCATTGCGGCCTGACTCTCAGACCGCCAGCCGGCCACTCCACACAAACTCACACGACACTGGGCCGACTGCGAGGTCCAAGTTATCCCGTCAGTTGGCAACCTTCTAAGCCACGGCTTTCAGTGCGCCGTGATAGCTACAAGCACATAAGATTGTTTATAGTGAGGAAATGCGCTCAGTCGTCGACCTCACTCTGCCTTCCCATTTACAGCCCCAGTCACTGTCCGAGCCGGTCAGTTGACTTGAGAGGGAAATGGGCGCGGTGGCTGAAAAAGTCTGCTGACCTAGTCTGCGCGCGCCACATGCACGACCTGGCCCTCCAAACACAAGCACCAGAATTTCACACAACGGGGATTGAGCGGCGTAACTCTCAAATGCGTGAGAGTGCCTTGGAAGAAGCTGTTTCAGACCGACTGTCAGCCCATCAGTCCGCCACTCCATACAAACACATACAACTGGACGGACTGCGTGGACTGAGTTGGGACGTCAGTCAGCAGCCTTCCAGTCCGCGGCGCCTGACGCGTCGGGATAGTCTCACGCTCGAGTCGCCTATGCGACATGAACCGCACGGAGACCGAGTCGAGACGCACACTTCCCACTTGCGTGGGAGGTGGCAGTTGGGTGTCAGCGATGGGTGATGTTTATGTGCGGTGAGATGGCGTGAGGGAGAATCTCGTGGTGCGGCGCAACCGGCGGTTGTCTATCGCAGGTTTTCGTGGATGCGCATGTGACCGAATAGGCCCATGCGGTGCATGAAAGTGCGAGGGCAGTGCGGACAGTGGAGGCGGATGCGGCAGGTGTAGATAGGTGCTTTAGGCATTGGTTTGCCAGTCTCTGAGCGATGGATGCGTAAGTGACCGACCAGGCCGATGTGCGAGGTGAAGGTGTAGTCCAGGTCTTCACCTCTGGTGTCGGAGCTTGTGGTGCTGGTGCTTGTTGTTGTGTCAGGATTGTGCGTAGTGTTGATGTGCATGCAGGCGCACGACGACAGACGTCGGGGCAGCCGAGGAAGAGGTAGATGGAAGTGGTGCTTCAGGAAGGTGGTCAGAATTAGTTGACGGTGTAGAGGACGAAGAAGAGGTGGGCAGAGGGACGACGGCTGATGCGGTCCGAATGGTGCAGTTGATCCCAAGGTCTCCAACAAGTCCAACTGGCGCCCGGAATGTCCGCTGACACCGTGGACACGTTAGAGGCAGTTGTGCGTTGGCATTGCGAAGTGGGCACAGCTGAGAATTTCGTGCTTCGCGTTGGGTTTTCGTGACGGCGATGCTGTTGACTTCGTAGAACGCAGCGCCTATCTTCACTGTCCCGCTCCCGGTCGGTCGGTCTCGGGCTAGGTCTCGCCATTTGGCCGGATTGATATGCAGACGCCTAAGGCAGGACTTCAGAGTATCCCTGTATCGGCGGATTTGGCCTCCTTGGCAGCGGGTATCCGTGGCGACGTCTCCATAGAAGAGTCGTTCGGGTAGCCGCTCGTCGTCCATCCGCACGAGATGGCCGGTCCAATACAGTTGCAGCTGTCTCAGTATGGCGTAAATTCTGAGGATTTGCGCCCGTTCCAGTAATCAAGGTCCGGGATTCGGTTCTACCACCTCAGCTTCAATATGCGGCCAAGACAACACACACAGAGCGCTAAAGCTCCTGGAACGCTGACAGACGTGATACTGGAGATCTCAAAAAACCGCAAAACCGCAATACAACCACCATCTTTCTTGGAATCCGTGCCAATATGATTGCTACTTGAATCCTTTCGGTAGATGTCTGCATCTGGTGATCGACCCCCGAAATGATATTTTTAATGGCGTGTTCATTTCGTTGGGCGACGCTGATTCAGTCGACGTTTAGCTATCCACCTCATGAGGGAAAAGACGACGGCTATAATATAACGTAATGGGGACTTGCTCCTATTTATATGGTTCAACGTTCAATTATAATGACTTAGGTTTATGCGGACAAGGTTCACCATCTAAACAGTTCAGAATTTACTAGACGATGTATACTTTAGAAAAATGCGCTTTAATATCGAGTGACATTATTGGGGGTGGATTCTGCCGGCACCGTTATCGCAGGCATTATGAACTTCATACAATAGTGATGCTGGATGATTTTGGGGGCTGCCGCTTGCATGGGAGAAACTGTGGTCTGGAAGTTTTTTTTCGGGGGTGGTTGGGCTACGGTCTAATCGAAGGGATATATCAAACGGTATCAAAACGGCGAGAAGCAAGAAACACCAATTTCTGTTATTGCACAAGCCGCGGCGTTTTGGATTTCTGCTAAAGGTACTTTCAGCTACTTCCCGCGATGCCAGGCGCTAAAGTCGATACTTTCGCAGCACTCTGCGTGGGAGTACCTTTCACCCGAATACTCTGGTTGTATTGTCGAAGAAGGAATCTAGACTGATCCAACTCAAATTTGAGCTATAGTTTGTGCGACAGAATGATTTCTCTGACGGCGAGCAGCACGTGTAACTGCGATGATGGCAGGAAACCGTTGATTTGACAACTACGCTCAATAGCATGGGTGATCCCGGGAGATGTCGAGGTTAGGGTAACTGAAATCTACTCTGAATAAGGCTAACGCTCACACCGTTAAAGTACTTTTTCGAAAACTAATATCACTGCTATTCCAATTGGAAACATCCAGAGGTCCAACATAAAGTCAGTTCATCTGATGACGACAACGTAGTATTGGCACTAGCATCTCCCACCCACCATCATCCCTGTCTGCAGTTTGGGCATAAGAAAGGGTTCCAACAGTTTATAGGCATCCCACTGACTCGATGACTGTATCATGAGGGAGATCAGTTCAAACAACCTGACAGCGAACTGACGTTGCTAAGCCTACCGTATGCGTGGGCAGTGATGGCTTACTGGACGGTGGCCTCTTGTGAGGATACGAATTCCCGAGTGAGACGTGACCTAATTAAACGGCTGACCTCAACTAGGGAGCAATAACTAGACGGAGATAAAAATAAAGCGAGGACAGAGGCAAAGCCACATTTGTTAGCGGTGCCTGCGAAATTACCGCAGGGTCAAAGTATATTGCAACCTTTATGCTGCCCCTATTATCTACCTAGTATTTTCCGCACTTTCCCCTGCCTCCGCGACCGCGCTGCAGTCACCGCCCTCTCCACTCTCTCTCTCTCTCTCTCTCTCCCTATACTTTTTACTCCCCCCACATTTCCTTATTTTCACTCCCCAGCGTTTAGTCTACAACTGCGAGAGATGTAACTGGCGAGTGCTTGTTTAATTTCGCCCCTCTTCCTCAACCTTAAGAATTCCAAAATTTTTAATTTATTTCGCCGAAGTCTGCCTGTTTATTCGCTTGCTTACTTTTACACAGGGCTGACTGGTTGGTTACCACAAATGACTACGCGTCCTCGCCTGAGACAACCTCACACACACACACCAAACGCAAGTGAGAGGCGACGTTCGTGAGTCGACGTAGGGGATGCTCGGCGTTTGTGGTCATCAGTGAGGAAGTTCTAATTGACAACGTGAAAACGCTCCCATCTTGACGTCATTTGGCGCAACTTGTCCCGGCATCACCCTAATGGCCTATAGCTTTAGAACTTAGGAGACAGAGTGTGAAAATACATACATTCAGGGTTCTACCTCTGTCTGGGTTTGCATGTGGCTCCACAGAACATCCCAAAGATGTTTGCCCTTCTCAGTGATACAGAATTTTTTAGGCGAAAAAAACCTGTGTGCAGTTGCCTGAATCTATTTTACCAGATATTTTAACCTTATTAGCTTTACATAAGTCATCAAGCAGTTGCCCAAAAATAGCTAACAAATAAACCCGTAGAAAAAATATCAATGCAAGAACCTTGATTAAAACTGCCTAAGGTTTATGTCCAAACGTCTGTTGAGGCCGCTATGGCATTAACTTTTGTCTAAAGCCGAAAGGGTATCAGAAATCTCTAAAATAAATAACTATTGATTGGTTTCAATGAGTGTCTAAACCAATCAAAGTCGAAAAAAGCAGTCAAATCGCACACAGACGACGTATACTCATACGGTCCGCAAGGTGTTATTTTTCTTGAGGCCGCTGTTCCTCTAATATCTTCCATACCTCACAATATTGGACATTTTAGAGTAATCCGTGGTACCTTGGCAATACATCATCATTCATATTGACCGAACTGTGAAAAACCCGGCGCCTCGGATTCACAACAGCAAGGGAAAGGCTGTCAAAATATCTATGGATTACGTACGCCTGGTGGTCATATGGTAGATTCTAAGTGGATGTCCTAGGAAATCCTGCTTGGGCAATCAGCCCGCCGCATCAGATTGGATAGATTCCGGACGTTGGAGTAGACTGGGGCGAGTAGCTTGATCCAAATGTGATGCATTTTACGTCTCCCGGTGGGGCTTCGTAGCTCATGTAAATAGAACGTTGACTATATTAAAGTTTTCTTCTTGCTATCGTAGGTTCAAATGCAACCGAGGTGCCAAGTTTTTCACAGTTAGATCAATAAGGATTATTTAAAATCGGCCAAGATATCAGCGAATATATTATCAATATTCTGTGGCATCAAGTTGTAATGAAAGCTTTGTACAATTGTTTACAATTGTGAGAAAATCAGCAAAGTCTAGATTGACGTACACTTAGAAAGACTTTAAAGGGAGAAGACTTTAGTCGAAGGACGAAAAGTTGCCCACAAATCTTATTCTTACAAAGTATACGCTATTCGCGCAAATTTCTAACTGACAATTAAAGAATCGTCTGCGCGGAGCTATGTGACTACGCGCATGATGCACACATGAGAGTAAGGAATTGGCATCAACGAAACGTTGTTACAAATATCGCTAGGAATAGTAATAATTAATAAGTTCTTTAAAAACTGGCCACAGCCCAGCCACGCCGCGACGAGGTGGTAAGAGATAGGCAAGAGACGTCAGCTTTAGAGGGATCAAACATTTATTGTACTATGGTAGAAGGGCGCTCACCAATCGTTCTTACGGAACTCACCCGTTCCATTGTGCCTTGCAGGCTCTCTCTCGAGCCCAACCAGCAGCCGCACAGCGGCACATCATATAGGCAGAATGGTATTACCGACAAAGAAAGGAGAGACTGGAATGGCCATTTCGGGCTTACTAGCCGTCCTCAGCCGGCCATACTGAACTTTTTGCAAAGGGATATTAAGGTTCCTGTATCTAGGTTACATATGTTCGCCCTTGCCGTTTCACACTTTCACGCTAATAATTTCTCGAGATCTTACAAAATCCCCTTTTAAAGATTTTGGTAAACCCTTTCTACATAATCATACACAGACTTACTTCACTTGATAACAAGCCAAGAAACACGATGCTCTCCATTCCAAAGTCGAGCAAAAAATGTATAAAATGACGCCATGTAATCTGGCCACTCTCAGTCTCATGACACAAGGTATCGACTGCCTACTGCTGATCGGCAAAATCTGTTAAACAGTAAAAGTTCTCGTTTGTCAAGACGGAATGGTAAGCGGCATTTGTGAAGTTTCAGAATGTAATCCAACTGACCATCTCTTTGCAACGGTCCGTTGTCAAAAACATTCTTATACCAAATGCGTAAAAAACCGAATTCTTAAATTAACAAGGTTACGTACTACTGTCTTAGATTACTCAGATAAGGTTCGCCTGTTTCTTGTAAGTACTCGAGGCTTGACAAAAGCCAAAGATCCTTAGCAAACAAATCAAGCAGTCAAAAATACATCACCTGAACGACAGTAGAACAGTGAATGCTCATCTCGTGACTTTTACACTTAATTAGAGAAGAATTCTCATTGAATACTGGTCGGTTGTCACTGTAGCCTAAAACGAGCCCCGCGGTAGCTGCGCTAGACAAACACGGGAACTAGATCAGAGTTCGACAGGCGTTATCAGGAATTCGCACCCATAACAAATGTAAACATTCATGGCACAGTGGTTCGCCCATGCGCAGGCTCATGACCCGCTCATTGGGATCCCTGCCATTCCCCCTGTTGTTGTTGTTGTTGTTGATTGTTGTGGACCAGGGGTTTTGGTTGCACGCCTAGGTGCGGATTTTCGTCGTGCCACCTGCCTGCGACCTCTGCCGTCTCCGGTCCCCTTCACTGGTTCATAACACCAGGCCCAGGCGAGGAAGGGGGGGCGGTGCAGTAGAGTCTGCGCAAGTCTTCTATCACTATGAACGGATTCGCGCTCGAGTCAGCGTCTAAGCGGCAGACGTCGCAATCAACGGTCCCACTGTCATCCGCGAGGACTCTAGATGTCAGATGGGAGACGCCAGTGATCGCTTTTAGCCTGCATTGAGACATATTTATGGAATCCATCTCAATGAAGCTCAGTTGCTTGGAGTTGCAAAGATTATTGTCAGGGGAATGGATCTTCCGATAACTGCCCCATCTCATGAAATGTTAACCAAATTCTGAAAAATGTGGTCGGTCAGAAAGGCTCACATTATGTGGGCCGTAATATTAACTGTCGTGAAGCATAATCTCAAGATATCTCAGCCGCACGGG